ATTCAATTCCTTCGCCCCTCTCAGAGAGTCCAGCAAGCTACCGAGAGTATCCCACTCACACATCAAAGCCTGGAAAGTTACCCGTGATGTATTCTATATGCCAAAAACAGTAACAAGTCTCACAACGGAGATGTTACTAGTGTCCACTCTAGCAAAGTCGATGAACAATGGGAGGACAGTGCTATAGTGCTATCTACTTTCAGCACATAGTTCCTATCCTGCATGATCATTTCCAACTAACTTTGTCATAACAGTCCCTTCGCTATTCCAATTGCCTTCTCCCCGAGGACTTGAGGCAGGATACATATATATATATATATATATTCAATCCTTTCTAAATTGGGGAAAAACATGGTGCATGTATCATAACTTATAAATCAAAAAACAGTCTTTGAGAAATGCAATGGTCTGCGGAAATCAACACACTCTTCATAAACAGAAAGGTGCAAACTGATTAGCTCTAAAGCCTGGCTTGGACCATGCAGATACTGACAGCCATACCACAGACACAGCGTGGCTCAATGGCTCCCAGGTTGAAAGCCAGGGGGTCAGACTTAGCCCAAATAGGATCAGAGCTTCAGATGGTGTCTGAAGGAAGAGGCCTGTTTGCCTTCAGTATACCCTCCTAGTGTTAATAGGCATTGATTCTTCTAGACAAAAGCTCTCTGAGTTTGAGATGACAGGGACCATCAGTTCCACAGAAGAGAAAATATGCAGCTTTCTCGACTCGTCATAAACTAGTTCCCTATGCCCGAAGTCCTTAGCGGGTCATATGTCATAGGTGGCATCTTCTTCGATGATTTGAGATACGCATAATTGTTTATTGACTCAGGACCAGCTTTACTTCACTCCTGCTTTAGAAAAGGCTTTTTTCTATAATTTAATGGCAAGTGATTTTTAAATAATGAGAACCTAGAAAAAGGAGAGAGGAAGTTGTAAGAAGGAAGGGAAATCCTTGAAGATGTGCACAATGCAAGTAATTTTCCTCCAGGCATAGCACCTGCCAAATTTCCTCTATATTTTTCTTAGGTGGGGGAAAAAATAAGAAAAACCAAGCTCAGCATTTTCTTATATTACTGAGTCTTAAGTATTAAGTGGTAGAGAAGTTGTTACTTATAAAATGAGATTGTAGAAAAATTTAATGTTCTCAGCAAGATGATGATTTTTTCCTGTTGATTTAGTCTTACTAAAATTTTATTTGCCTTAATTTCTGTTTGCAACCTTTTACCAAAGAAAAGTATCTCATCATCTCTCTACATTTTCATTATAAAATTTCAGGGTAAATGTCTCCTCTAAGAATATGTTTAACCCTAAATGCTAGTGAAATTGTAATTCTATTAATGAGTGATCTATATGAAAAATGAAAAGGCACTGGTGGGTTATAATCTCAGAATAACTTTGAACTTGCTCACTGAATTCAGTGGTAGTTCTTGATGTGTTTCTTTTTACTCAGAATGAAACATGTAAGAAAATATGCCATTTTTATTGTTGTTTTGGAATTAATGTCACAAAACATTACCAGAAAATGTTACATATATTTTTATTTATTAACTATACTATTTTTATAGGCTCTGGTAGCACTCAGGGCTTATTCCTGGCTCTATGTTCAGGGGTCACTCCTGGCAGTGCTCGGGGGAGAGTATGCAGTGTTGGGCATAGAACTTGAGTCAAACTATGTTTAAATAAGGAAAGAGCCTTGTCTGCTGCATTATCTCTACAGCCTCATATACTTTATTTAGTAGACAAAAAAAATCACCTGTCTCAGACACATCCACCTCCCTTTTTGCCAGCAAAACACAATTCTGCTATGAAGCAGACAGGGATATGGTAAGACTTCAACCGTTTGTGGAAATAAAAAGAAGGAAAAATACCCCAAGCAATATCAACCTAAAATTATGCAAAATATAAATTCAGTTTTCCTCTAATTTCTGTCACTTAATCACTTAATCACTTAACTTCCCGTTAGTCGTCGATTTGCTCGAGCGGGCGCCAGTAACGTCTCCATTTGTCCCTGTCGCGTGCTAGTGTAGCCCAATGGCATCTGTTCGCTCCGGGAACATGAAGGGCCTCAAACTGATCGTTCATGATCTTGACGAAGAAGTCTGACAATTGGTAGGTGGGTGGCCACGCGGTCTCTTGACATCCCGTGGAATCCAATCAGTAACAGCTCTAGTCCAACGGTCGTCTTTAAATCTCGTTACGTGACCAGCCCATCTGATTTTCGACACCTTGGCAAATGAGACAGCGTCCCTGATCCTTGATCATCGACGGATGTCAGAACTCCGGATTCTTTCTCTCATTTGAGTGAAACGTGATATTCCAAGCATAGCTGTTTCTATTCTTCTTTGGGAGACCTGAATAGCGTTCTCATCTTGTTTGCGTAGGGCCCAGGTCTCTGAGGCATATGTTAATGCAGGAAGAACAGTGGAATCAAAGAGATGTGCCCAGAGCCGGAGGTTCTTCATCCTCTTAGCTATTTCTTCGACGTTCTTGAAGGCGTTCCAAGCCGCTCTCTTCCTCCTGCACAGCTCGGGTGCCAGGTCATTTGTCATGTTGACCTCTCGACCTAGGTACACATAGCTGTTGCATTCGGAGATGGTCGTTCCATTGAGAGCGAATGGGGCGTCAGGAACAAGGCTGTTTCTCATAAACATTGTCTTCGTAAGATTCAGCTGTAGTCCTACCTTTCCACACTCACAGTCAAAGTCGGCCAGCATTTGTGCCGCTTGGCTGATGTTTGGTGTTATTAAAACAATGTCATCAGCAAAGCGGAGATGGTGTAGTTGCCGACCATCTATATGCACTCCCATTCCTTCCCATTCCAGTCGTCGCATGATGTTCTCAAGGGTGGCACTGAAGAGTTTTGGTGAAATGGTATCACCCTGCCGCACCCCTCTCTTGACATCAACCATCACTTCTTTGTAGAATGGTGAGATCCTGGTAGTGAATCCGCAATACAGCTCACGGAGGATCCTGATGTATTGGGCTTGAAAGCCCTGATTGGCTAGGGCTTCAATGACCGCTTCCGTCTCAACAGAATCAAAGGCCTTCTTTAAATCAATGAACGTTAAACAGAGCGGCATCTTGAACTCCCAAGAAACCTCAATGAGCTTGGTTATCGTGTGGATATGGTCGATGGTGCTGAATCCTTTGCGGAACCCTGCTTGCTCGCATGGTTGTCCTTCATCTAGTGTTCTGCCAATCCTATTTAGGATGACTCGAGTGAACAACTTGTAGATGACAGACAATAGGCAGATCGGGCGATAGTTGCCAATGTCATGGATGTCTCCCTTCTTGAACAGTAGTACGGTCCTGCTGGCTTTCCATTGGGAAGGAACCTTGCATTCAGACAGGTAGCGAGTGAAGAGCCGAGCCAGTGTATTGATGAGTACTGACGGCAGGTTCTTCAGGTGTTCAGGTCTGACCTTGTCTGGGCCGGGTGCTGTTTGTTTCTTTACCGACGAAATGGCGTGTCGGATTTTGGAAGGGAGAACGTTGGGAATGACATATCCATCCTGTGGAATTTGGTATGTCGGCAAGTGGACATGGCTATCGAAGAGATTTGAGTAGAAGTCATGAATAATCTTCTCCATTGCCGTTCTGGAGGATGTGATGGATCCATCAGGACATCGGAGGGCAGTCATCTTGGTCTTATAGTTGGCGAAGGACAGGCGGGCGTTACGAATACTTTTCCCGGCTTCTGCCGCATCTACCAGTACTTCTGCTCTTCTCTCTTTGAGGTCTTCCTTGATCGCATCTCTGCACTGCTTTGCGAGCTCGGACGTTAGCTTGCGGTTGCCTGAGGCATGCGCCAAACCACGCTGGCGAATTAGCTCAAGAGTTTTCGAAGATAGGCGATTTTTTGTGGCTATCTCTCTCTTGGCGTTCCTTGCACATTCATGGAGGTGCTGAACCAGTTGATCGTAATCCTCGTCAATGTTGTCAACAATGGCATCTTCCCATGTTGCCGCAATAGTACCAGAGTTCCCAGTTGGTGGTCATTCTGGGAGTTCTCTTTTTGAACTTTGCAGCCCTTTCTCCCCGCTCTGTGAAGTAGAATTTTGCACGAAGGAGACGGTGGTCCGATCCCATTCGAAATTTTGGGACAACAGCGACATCAGTTAGGCAAAACCGTCGATTGAATATGATGTGGTCTATTTCATTGTGGAATCATCCACCGGGAGACTCCCATGTCCATCGTTTAGATTCTGCCTTCTGGAACTGTGAGTTACCATGAATGGTCTTGGTCGACATGATGAACTCAGACAGTCTCTCACCCTGTTCATTCCATTCTAGGCCATGGGTCCCGATGTGAAGTTCTTCAGCTGATCTTCTCGGTCCTATCTTGGCATTAAAATCACCCACAATGATCTTGTAGAAGGTGTGGTCTTCTTTATAGAACTTCTCTAGCTCCATGTAGAACTTCTCGATTTCTCTTTCATCATAATGAGATGTTGGTGCATAGACAACAAAAATAGAAACAGCAGGTAGAGAGCCACATCTATTCAAATGTAAACGTCCGATTCGGGTTGTTAGGCATTCGAATGAATCAATGCACTTGGCCAAGTTTGTATTGACAAGGACACCAACGCCTCCAACACCTCTTTTATCGCATGTTCCGAGGAACAATTCTTCTCTAGTGTCGAAAACGGCATGGTGAGATTCGTGCCTTCTTGTCTCGGTCAGACCAATGATGTCGTACTTGATCATTCGCGCTTGTACCATCAGGTCCTCGATGGATGCATCTGATGCTAGCGTACGTGCATTGAAAGTACAGACGATCATTTTTGTCTTCCTTCATTGTGGCAGCCTAGGTCGGCCTTGAGATTTTGTTGGCCTCTCCTTTCTCATCCTTCTCAGGGCTGCCATGTCGGTGAAGCCTTCAGGGTCAGGTGAATGAGACCAGTTGTAGTTACTGGTTTTGGCATATCGAATACACAGTGGATAGCTTGCCAGGCTCTTCCGTGCGGGTGATAAGAGGATCGTCTCTAGGCTTTTCCATGCCATTTCACCCTTCTCAACCAAGAGAGAGTGGCCAGCACCTGTGCTCGAGGGAAGGCATGTTCCGGAGACCCTCAGAGGGCCAGTCTCTCATCAGCTACCTGTCTGAGCAAGACTTCGGCAGCTGCGCTGACCTAGAGAAGGAGAATGCCCACTTCAGCATCTCAGAGTCCCTGATTGCTGCCATTGAGCTGATGAAGTGCAACATGATGAGTCAGTGCCTGGAAGAAGAAGAGGATGGGGAGGAGGACAGTGATCGGGAGATCCAGGAGCTGAAGCAGAAGATACGCCTTCGCCGCCAGCAGATCCGCACCAAGAACCTGCTCCCTGTGTACCAGGAGGCCGAGCATGGCAGCTTTCGAGTCACTTCCAGCAGCTCCCAGTTTAGTTCACGGGACTCAACCCAATTCTCTGACTCTGGCTCTGCTGATGAGGTTGATGAGTTCGAAATTCAAGATGCTGACATCAGAAGGAACACAGCCCCAAGCAGCAAATCCTTCATTTCTTCCCAGTCCTTCTCACACTGCTTCCTACACTCCACCTCTGCGGAGGCAGTGGCCATGGGGCTTCTGAAGCAGTTTGAGGGCATGCAGCTGCCGGCAGCCTCCGAGCTCGAGTGGTTAGTTGCAGAGCACGAAGCCCCTCAGAAGCTCCTGCCCATCCCTGACTCACTGCCCCTCTCACCGGATGATGGGCAACATGCAGACATCTACAAGCTACGGTATTCGTGTCCGTGGGAACCTGGAGTGGGCGCCACCACGGCCTCAGATCATTTTTAATGTCCATCTGGCCCTCATGAGGAAGATCGCTGTGGCCAAGCAGAATTACCGCTGTGCGGGCTGTGGCATCCGCACTGACCCTGATTATATCAAGCGGCTGCGGTACTGTGAGTACTTGGGCAAGTACTTCTGTCAGTGCTGTCACGAGAACGCCCAGGTGGTCATCCCCAGCCGGATCCTGCGCAAGTGGGACTTCAGCAAGTACTATGTCAGCAACTTCTCCAAGGACCTGCTCCTCAAGATCTGGAACGACCCTCTCTTCAGTGTGCAAGACATCAATAGCGCACTCTAATTTCTGTGATTCAGGTTTTTTTTCAGTATGTGCCAAAATATTATTTTTTGTTTGACGACATACCAGAGGCTGGAGCAATAGCACAGTGGTAGGACATTTGCCTTGCATGCAGCCAACATGGTCAACCCGAGTTCGATTCCTCCGTCCCTCTCAGAGAGTCCGGCAAATGACCGAGAGTATCTCGCCTGCACGAAAGAGCCTGGCAAGCTACCCGTGATGTATTCGATATGCCAAAAACAGTAACAACAAAGTCTCCAATGGAGACGTTACTGGGCCCGCTCGAGCAAATCGATGAACAACGGGAGGACAGTGACAGTGACAGTGACATACCAAAGAAGCTTACCCATTACTCACAATTTTATATTTTTATTGATACCCATAAGTGTAGAAGGTGTTTATAAGTGCTTTACATAGCACCATTCATAAGTTATAGGTATGGAAACGTATATAAATATCATATATAAAAGATATATTAAAATGATATACAAAATATAAATAAACATAGATAACTGATGTTTATCCCTTTAAACACATAATGAGCACACAGTTCTATCTGGCCTATATATGTGCCTTATCTTTTATAACTAAAGAATTTGCTAAGTAGTGCATGTTACCTATTTTATCATTGGTTTTCACTGAAATCCATACCCTAGAAGTGGGTAATTACTCCTATTCTATAGTTGAAGGTGGGATTCCAAAACACAGACCAATGGTGTTTTAGAACAATGGAGTCTGGAATAGAATGCAAGTTTTGAACTTGAACTTAAGCATTTCCTGCCAATATACAAGACATAAGATTGGGAGAAAGGAATCGCCGCCACCCTCATGGCCAATCATTACAGGTTTGTCCTGAGACCTCCAGGCAAGAGAATGAATCTGCTGAAAAACCCAGGTATGCAGGACCAGTGACTGAAAACTCCAGGCCTAAAGAACCCTGGAACAGGACGCCTCTTCCCATCTCCCAGCACTTCAGGAATCCTGGCTGTCACACCCACAAACTGCCTCCGGGTGCCATTTAAGCGCATTAATGGCCATGTTCCAGAGACTCACAAATGAATCCTGGAACAGAGCAGCTCACTGCAGAGATGTCTCCGAACCCCAATTATTTAAGATTTTGGAATTCTAGGAGTGTGTGGCCTCTTTTTTTTTTAATTTTTTATTGAATCACTGTGAGATAGACCCTTACAGACATCTCATACTATTCATAGCAGGCAATAAAAAATAAATTATCTAACATCTGCCTTTGGGGCAGTCTTGAGTGATGGTGGGAAAATTTGAAATAATGGTGGTGGGGAGGTGTAATGGTGGGATTGGAATTGAAATATTTAATGTAATAAATTATTGTAAACAACTTTATTAAAATAAAATTTAAAATGTTTTTAAAAGATTGGGCTGGAGCAGTAGCATAGTGGGTAGGGCATTTGCCTTGCACATGGCCAACCCTGGTTCAACTCCTCTGTCCCTCTCAGAAAGCCCAACAAGCTACCAAGAGTATCTCACCCACACAGCAGAGCCTGTCAAGCTCCCTGTGGCATAATCAATACGCCAAAAACAGTAACAACAAGTCTCACAATGGAAACGTTACTGGTGCCTGCTTGAGCAAATCGATGAACAACGGGAGAACAATGCTACAATGCAGTGCAGTTTAAAAGATTGAGGGAAAAGGAAGTCTCCAAACCCAATCTCTGTCATTAATGGGCCACGCCACACTTCCTGAACCTCTGATTGCTGTTCCAGCCTTCCAAATGAGATTAATATCTAACTGATATTATTATCCCTACTCAAGCAAGAGAAATTTAGGGTAAATGTTTCCTCTAAGAATACTTTTACTCCCAAGTGCTAATGGAATTATAATTCTATTCATCAGTGATAGCAGAAATAAAATGGCATAAAATAAGATAAAAGAAGTTATCTGATCATTTCCCTCCCAACTAGGTGCAGCAGCTCCATACTCGACCTCAGCCATCTTAACAGGTCCATGCCACAGCATGAGGACACATATGCAGCTATATAACAGATCTATTCAGCTAATTTCACACTACTCACAATTATACTTCTTGTCACAAGTACAAAAAAGGTAGAGAAGAAAAAGAACAGCTTCCAGCATAATCCCTCAGAGTTTCCCAGAGGGTTTACCTACAAAAACTCATCCCCATAGAGAAGGGATCACTAAGAAAATAATGGCTTGAGGAACAGGTCAGGATGGGAGATGTGTGCCAAAAGTCGATAAAGGACCAAACATGATAAACTCAGAGTGTCTGTATTGCAAACCATAATACCCAAAAGTAGAGAGAGATTATGGGGAATATTGTCTGCCATGGAGGCAGGGGGAAGGTAGGAAAGGGGGATATACCAGGGAGATTGGTGATGGGGAATGTGCACTGGTGGAGGGATGGGTGTTTGATCATTGTGTGATTGTAACTCAAACATGAAAGCTTGTAAATATCTCATGGTAATTCAATAAAATTTTTTTTTAAAAAAAACCTCATCCCATTGGTTTGTACAGTAGGGATGCTGTACAAACCAATGGGGAAGACTCCTAGAAACCCACCAAATTTAATGAGTGAAAACAATAACCAACACCAACTAGCTCTGTAAATCCTCAGAAAATGACTTTAGTAAGACTATAGTGAGACTGCTTAATGAGCTCAAAGAAACAATGGCATAGGTAGCCAGTAAAACACAGGCAGTATGAGAACCAAATTAAGAAAACTGCAAGTAGAAATGACAGAAATGAAGAGTCTAATAGGTGGTGTAAAGAAAAAAACAAATTAAAAAACCTCATTAGAAGATCTGAGCTTCAGAAGAAGCTGAGGAAGTAAATAGAGAAGCAAAATGAAGTGGAGGAAATCCTTAGAAAACACTCGAAAATGGGGGGAAATTTGAAAAGAAATAAACACACAGAGTGGTACGAGATGATCACAAAAGAAACAATGTAAGAATTATCAGCGTTAAAGAAAGCATAGATCCCCTTGGTGGCTCAGTGGTCGCCATCCTCCAGAGGCCACTGGACAGTCAGGTTTGGGCCCACAGTGACGAGACATGTTGGGCCTCATGGGATGGGGGTGGAGCCAGTCCTTTCCTCTCGGTTCCAACAAGATCCCGACTCGCTGCCCATGAACGGCCTTTCTGGCTACTGATCAAGCTGCTTAATGGGCATGATCCCATGATCCCAGAGACTCAGGAGCAAATCTCAGAACCCAGCAGGTCTTGGCAGAAATCCTTCCAGATTTAACTATTAAAATTTCAGAATTTCAAAATCATGTGGCCACTACTGCGGCCACATAACCAGCAATAGAAAACAAATTGTCTACTGTTGTCTTTTCAGCAGATATGAGTGTTGGGGTAAAATCTCAAATAATAATGGTGGGTCTGGTGTCAAGATATTAGAGAAAGAGTAATATGGAAATCATCTGCCCCACAGGTAGGGGGTGGGTGTGGGATGGGGGTATACTGGGGTTGTTGGGAGTGGAGAATGGGCACTGGTGAAGGTACGAGTGTTTCATTTTATGACTGAGACTTAGACCCAGAAACTTTGTAACTGCTCTCAGGATGATTCAATAAATAAAATTATAAAAAATGAAAAAAAATAAGATGGAGTTCATGTCCAATTCAATCAACTAATCAGTGACTGAATAAATAGATGTACTCCGACATAAAAAAAGCATAGATAAGAATTTTCCAGACTTGAGGAATACAGGCACTGAGATTCAGGAAGCTCAAACATTCCCAGTGAAAATAGACTCAAATGGGCAGGGGATATTACAGCAGGTAGAGTGCTTGCCTTGTACACGGCCCACCCAGATTCAATCTCCGGCATCTCATATCATCCTCCAAAACTGCCAGGAGTGATCCCTAAGTGCAGAGCCTCAATTAAGTCCTGGGTACCAGTGAGTGTGGCCCAAAAGCAAATAAATAAATAAATAAATAAATAAATAGACACAACTAGCAAAACTCCAAATACACTGTGCTCAAAATGACAAAAACTGAAGATGGAGACAGAATATTAAAAACAGAAAGATCAAAAGAAAAGAAATTCTACACAAGGAAAACTGCAGAAGATCTATCAAATCAAACTCTGAGTCGGAAGAGAATGGAAGGATGTAATACAAAAATTCGATGAAATGAACAGCCAAGAATACTCTATCCAGCTAGATTATCCTTCAGGTTTGAAGGAACTATACGGAGTTTCATAAACAAGAAATAGTTCCAGTAACTCATAAACCTGAAACCAATTTTTTAAGAAGCATTAAAGGAACTTTTAATTTTTTGGCTTTTTGGGTCACACCTGGTGATGCTCAGGGGTTAGTTAACTCCTGATAGTGCTCGGGAAACCATATGTGATGCCAGGGATCAAACCCATGCTAGCTACATGTAAGACAAACACCCTACCCACTGTACTATCTTTCCATACCCAAAGGAGCTTCTTTTAAAAATAGGACAACTTTGTAACATATGACACTGAGTATAACACTGACAGCACTTATGGTTGCCCTGTACTAAATTAACAAAGATGTGTTTACTCCTAGCTTGCTAAGGGATTTTGTACATTATAAGTAACATTATAAATTAACTTATTTATATTGAATGTTCTATGTCCAATCAGTTTTTATAATACCCATAGAGATTAGAACGCTATTCGGGTCTCCCAAAGAGGAATTGAAAGAGCTATGCTTAGAGTATCACATTTCACTCAAATGAGAGAAAGAATCCAGAGTTCCAACCTCCATCGATAATCAAGAATCAGGGACGCTGTCTCTTTTGCCAAGGTGTCAAAAATCAGATGGGCTGGACACGTAATGAGATTTAGAGACGACCGATGGACTAGAGCCATTACCGACTGGATTCCACGGGACTGGAATCAAAAGTCAAAAGACCACGTGGCAGCCCACTACCAGATGGTCAGACTTCTTCATCAAGATCATGAACAATTGATTTGAGGCTGTTGATGTTTCTAGAACGAAATGACGCCATTGGGCTACACTAGCACGCGACAGGGA